GGGAGCCCGGGCAGGGCCGCGCTGAGGATGGCGCTGGGCTGCCTCGGAGCCGGCTGCGCTGGGCAAAGGGGACAGGCGTGCTGGGAGGGAGCGGGCAGGGCGCTGCTCGGGGACACGGGGACACACGCCAGGGCGAGCAAGAGCCAGCGGGGGCAGGAGAGCCGAAGGGCGGGGCTGCAAAGGCAAGTTCAGAGGGCCCCAAGGAGTCAAAAGGCGAGGGCCAGAACAGCTCCCGGAGCTTGGGGTGCCCCCGGCTCCCCACAAGCCTGCCTGCTGACAGGAGATGTCCCGGCGCATCCAGAGCCGGAGACCTTTCGCCATCCGGCTGGAGAGCGTCTCTGGGGTGCAGTGTCTTCAGTGCTCCCCGGCAGACTGCCTGTCCCACGAGAGACATCACCTGCTGGCCAGGAAAATCTCCCCCGACACAAGGCTTTCCTGCACCTTCTCCTGGCTGCCTTCTGGACATGGACCTGTCCCTCCCACACGTACCTCTGACAACCACTGTTGAGGCATAACAAAACTCACTGGCCCCTCACAACAAGCCAACAAAAAAAACCAGCACCTAAAAACAAAATAACCTACAAACCTACAAACAAAATAACAAAATAACCAAACAAAGAAACAAAACAAAACTAGGAAAACATGGATGAGTATAATTAATCTTCAATTTCTCCAATGAGATGCACTCACAGCACAAGATAAACTGAGGTAATTATTAGGCCATTCAGAGCTGCACTGCATGGCCATCCTGAAGAGAAAAGGAAACAGAGACCAGCCTCAGACAAGCCACATGGGGAAGTTTAGGTAGTCCTCGATACTCAAGCTACAGTTTGACACTGACATTATCAAACATCTCCATAGAAAGTGCTATAGCGTCTTTAGTGACCACAGATATGTATTTTCTCTAAGCTAAAAGGCAGTGAACCCACAGCAGTTGTTAAGAAGTTTAACAAGGAATGGTTTACATAACCAGATATAACATTTCTGTTTCTATTGAGAGCTCCTTAAGTGGTTCTATTTACCAAGATGAAAAAAATTTACATTATTTCACTATAAGGAGGTAAATCTCTGTATGTGAGCTCATATGAATGTGGAAGAAGACAGATACCACGTATTCTCTGTTGTATAGCTTTTCCATACACTCTCATATATGTTATGGTGATACACAACACATCCAGGGCATAAAGATGAAGAAACATTGTGCAATATTCACAGACAGCATGAAACTAAATGCTCATTTATAAATCGTTTAGGCACCTCCTTCATAGTCTTTTCCTCTGTTGCTTTTAGTTCATTGATATGATTAGGTCTCTGCCCATGTCTTTTCTCTTTCGAATGTGGTATATTTTTGTATATGCAGTGCCAAAATTGCCTGGTTATGATGTTCTAATGCAGGGTTGCACTTTGCCTCCTGACTTGCCCACTTGTCCACTTTGGGCTAATGTTAGTAAACATCCCTTGGAAACAATCGCTTTTAATCTTGTCAGAGATGGCTGTGTTGTGAGGGTGAAAATTAGTTATTAGCTTAGCTTTTCATCCATGCATAATAGGATGTTAAAATCAGAGATGTTTGCTTGGGGCCATGAGAGGCATCCCACTCTGAGCTTACAAGTTTTGAATTTATAAAATGCAACATATTTAAAACAAGCAAGCAGAAAGTAAATGCCAGTTTAAAATTAGAAAAGTCTGGTTTGTGTATTTTTGTCTCTGTGCAAGAAGTTTAAGGCATTTTTTGATTGCAGCAAAAGAAGAAAAATATGCTGTATATTTGCGGGTTTTTTTATCTCGCTCCTGCCTTTGTTATAATAGATAATCTACAGAAAAAAGCTATGCCATGCACTTCTTAATGTGAAGACTTTCCCCTTGAATGGGGTTCTCATCATGTTGGTTCTTCAGAATTAATCATCCTCTGTCCTCATGCTGTACCTTATCAAATTAAAACCAAAAATATCAAGACAAAGTCAGGCTAAAAAGAAAAAAAATAAAAAAAAAAAAAAAGAAAGAGAAAGGAAACCCAAAACAAAATAACGACAAAATCTCTTTGCACCTGTATTACAAGGTAATTTAGACATCTGCCCTTCATTCTGCACAGAAGCATCTGTGGCAGGATGGGAATACAGGATCCCTCTCTGCAAATACCCAGAGCAGTAACAACTTTCCGTTTTCTTTGTCTCTTATGCCACTTGAGCTAAATCAGCCAGAGCAAAGGATGTAGAGCAGGTGATAGTTCCCTCAGGACTATCTATGCTAGAATCATGGTAATTGGCAATGAAAGCAATCAGTGAGTTCAGGTGCTTTCAGAGAGACCTCTAAATGTCTCAGTGCTCTCCTTTGTCATCCCCAGCAGCTGTATAGCAAAAATGGCTACCACAGAAACACAGGTAGGCATTGTGGTTCTGAATGCATATATAATGCAAAATGCAGAGTTGTATACCAGTCTGCTGGATGACAGGCTTGGGTCTTTGGATTGCCTACCAAGTGTTGATGAAAAGCCACACAGATTCTTAATTCAGAAACTCCAATTTTTCCTCTGTTCCTGTGTTCATTTTCTTTATCAGCAGGGGATGACTTACACTTTCATAACTGATTAACATTTTAAAACTGTGGGAGCACTTTGTGTAGCATTTCAAATTTTTTAACTCTTTAGTTCTTTTCTGAGCTCCTCCGTTTGATTGCTTTTTTTTCTTTTTCTGCTCTTTTTTGTCATTATTGTTTGTTTTGGTTTTTTGTGGGGTTTTTTGTTTGTTTTTGTTTTGGTTTTGATTTTGGGGGTATTTTAGTTAGTTGGTTGGTTTTTTGGGGTTGTTTTTTGTTTTTGGAATACATGTTGTGCCAGCATGTCAGCATTTCCAGGAAGTGTTTTGCATTGTGCAGAAGATACTGGAGACACCAGTTACGCTAACTAAATTTGGGCAGTACAAACAAGTCGAGGTTTACAAGTTTTCTCTTCATTGTCTAACATGCCCACATAGGTGGAGGAAACAGCCTTGACATAAGGCTTTGAAAAACCCAGTAGATTTCTTAATCTTTTCAATGTCCTGTTTGTCCTCAAAATAATGTCTTCAATTGGCTGTTCGAAATCAACAGGACCTATCCTTTTCCCCTTAATCTCTTTTTTCTTGTTTTGCACTCTCTCACATGTCATGTATAGGCAAAGCAGGGACTGGCTGGTACACAGTGAGCAGTCTTCCAACTGTGCTTTTCCTGTCAACCAGTTGAAATTCGTCCTAAAGCATGGCTGAGGAATACTATTCTTTTAAAAATAAATACGGTGCTTGAAGGCATTTTTCCATATCCACAGACAAGCATCTAGCTACAGTGTAGAGAATCATCAGCAGCTGAGGAAAATTATTAAGCAATGCCTACAGACTTGTCTTCAGCCCACTCACAATAGCTGCCACCTGTAAATTTAAAAGGCCAACATCTGTTGATGTCCACTATTTGAATTTATAAGATGGCTAAAGGTGTGTCAAAAGGATTCTGTTCCAAGGTCATTTGAGTAAGGACAGTCCCTACTGATCTTGATGGGACTTGCATTTGAGTCTCACAACTCCAAGAATGAATGTGGACATTACTTCCCACCACTGTTCAGCAGTGTTCAACTGGACATTCAACACTGTAAACAATATAGGTTAGTTTTCTTCTTACTATTTTGCAGCAAAGATATTCTAGTAACTAACAGTTACTAGAAGTTCAGAAGTCTAGTAGCAGGACAGAATTCCTACTCCCTTATAGTTAAAAGTGCAGAAACAAAACTACATTTCTGGTTTCCAACAATATATTGCAATGAAAAGCTGAGCATAGGTATTCTGTTTTCTAGCTTGTCAGTTTTAGGAATTCAGAAATATATGAATGACCCAGTAGTGAAGGACAAGAAAGAAAAGACAGGAAAGACACATTTTGTCTGCATTTAAAGATTAAGTATTCATTTCCAAACCTACCTTTCTTCTAACTTTTACTGCTTTCCCTTTCTAATTCTGCTTTATCTGAGATTCATTCCCCTATTCCCAGATTTTCCCCTCATGTTTCCTTGAGCTGGAGATTTCTGTTAGTCCAGTCCCTGCATTCAGTCACAGGGGCATTAATTTTAAAGTGCATTCCTGTGAGTGATTTGGTAATGACCTGTTACCACTCCTCGGCCCAGGTTAATCAACACGCATGGTAAAGAGAAATTCTTTGCAGTCATGCCAGTAGAAAAAATTCAAATGGAAAATGCAAAACACTGTGGAGAACCAATCAGGAATGTATTTAATGTTCTCAAAGCTCACATACACTTCTGAAAATGTAACTGTTTTGTAATTAGTATTAGAAAGAAATCTCCTTCAATTTTACTCTTTCCCCTGTAGGAAAAAGACAGCACAGGACATTTCAATCAATTTTCTTCGTTACATTAAATAGTGTCAAGCAAGAGCAAGAGGAAATAAAAAAATTGTGCTAGTAGCGTTGGAAGAGCTAGTGCCTTAAAAAGTCTTGCAATATCTGAAAATCATTATTAGTTCTGAAAAGACTAGCTGTTTATTATTTTATCTTATAATTAGTATCCTGAAATACTAGTTGCTTTGCAAAAATTAGTAGCTTTTTTGACAATTGATTAACAGGTGCAAACAGCACTTCTTAAGGTTTGGAGGCAGGTAATTTACAGCTTTTTGTAGGGGAAATGAAACTAGAGGAAAGAAAAACTGGAATGCTTCATCTACATTTCTTCACCCTTTCTTTGAAGTTTCCTGTTAATATTCAGGAACAATTTCCCTTTTCTAATGTTCTTCTGCTAGTTGTATTTTATTTATCTTGGTTGCCCATTGTAAATAAAAAGTAAGAAATCTGCCAGTTCCCTTTGATCATGGTTCTGTTCTTTTCCCCAACAAAACTTACACACAGAGGGTTTTTGGTTTGTTTTTTTCTTTCTTTCAGAGGTGAAAAGCATTCCTCATTAGGAAGAGCAGATGCATTCTATCATAAAGGGTTGAGGGTTATAGATTTTTTGGAGTAGTTTCCTTTCACTCCAGGTACAAATTGTTTAATCCCCAAGCTTTGTCAGTGTTCCTGAGTGTTCATGTATTTAGTATATATTGTCACTGGAAGCTCCAGGCAAACCATGTGTAAAAAAAAAAACCATATTAAAGCATAAAAACTAATGAGGACACAGTGCAAATATTTCTCATAACCATTGCCCAGATTACTTCCTCAGGGGGAGTCAGACTACAGTAGTTACATCAGGAATACAGACATGCTACAGGTGGGTTTCTGCATTTTTCCTTCATCCCTGTATAGAACAGAAACACAAAACCCAACAAAAATTCTTCCTTTACCTTTTTGATAATTATGTTTGAAAAAAGGTAAGAATCCATATTCATATCTGATTAATATTTTGAAAGTTTTTTCTAAGCTCCTTTAACTTTTCAATGTAAACACATTTCCTGGAGACATATCTATCAATTATTTTGAAAGTTTACAAAAACCAGCAGTGCAAATATTGCAGGCATTTAATAAACACAGGACTGAAACAGTACACTGAAATACTTGTCATACAAGATCTTGAAACAAGGGAAGTGTTGTACTCTACTCAGAAAGCGTTTTCTTGAAGTTTGTGTATATCCCCTTTCCTTGCCTTGTGAAGTTTTAAAGTTACACACACACATACTCTTGCTTGAAGCCTTATGAAACTGAAATGTCAAGTGAGAGTTGCTTTATATCATGTTCTGTCAATCAAAGTAAGCGAGGCTTTATGCATCTGTTGCTAGTATATTGGCACTTTTTGAAGAGTGTTTCGGAGGGAGCGAGAATAAATAAAGATCCTTCAGGCACTTTCTCATTTATGGATGAGGAATCAAAGCAGTCTGAAACTTCATTTTCAGCCTGATACCCTGAAGATTGTTGGCTGATAATTCTGGATGGAACAGCTTATCTGGGAGGATTAGGGAGAACACGGACTTCCTATTACTGCTGGCTTCAGCCTATTCAGCTGGGCAGACTCTGTCACACATTATCTGTGCCTTTACATATGTCACTAATCTTATCTATATCTTTTCAGCTCCTTCTGTTGGTGTTGTGGTTTCCTGTGCCTAAGTCCCCCATTTCTTCATTACACCGGCTGTATAGGCATTAGCCTTCTCTAACAGCCTTTCTGCACCATGTCATTCAGTAATGGCTAGTAATGCAAAGGTAAGAGAAGGTAATGGTTGTGCTTTATCTCTGATCTTACAGGCCTCACATCAATATATTAGCTGCACACCTCCCTTCCCACCAGCATCCTCCATTTTCCACCCCCAACACTTTTGACCAAATCCACTTGATAAAATAAAATCACCCCAACAATAGAGTATCTCTGCAATCTTTAAAAATAATGGAAGCAGGCAATTTGGGGGCAGGTCTACCCCTGGAAGGGTCAAAAGTAGTTTGTAACCAGGAGAACCAAAACATCAGCACCAGATCTAATCTGAAGCTTCTGCCATTGCTAATTTGTGTTACAAATTTAGTGGTGTTCATCACTAGGACAATATAGCATAAAAAGAAAAGAATTCTTGGAGTCTTCTGAACTTCCGATACCCTTTTTAAATTTTATAGGGAAGCTACTTTCCCACAGCTGCTCTAAAATACTTACCTGGCTTCCTCTGGCTGTCTGCTTGCCTGATAAGTTCCATCCTTTCCCTGCTATTCTGCTTTTGACTTTCACCCCTCTGACACACCTCCAATCTGGTGTCCTCTTTCCTTTCTAATTAATTTTCTGCTGTTTCTTCATCTCCCTCGGCCATTTTCAACTTCCTCATTCCCCATTACTGTAATAAAAATGACAATAAATGAATTTTTAAGTGAAGGAAATGAAACCACTGAGATACTACTTTACCCTTTTATTATACCACTAACTGTTTTTGACTTAAGGTCTTCTGGGCAGAGACTGCTCTTATTGTGTGTTTTCCTTGTGCCTGGTACAATACATATCAGAAAAATAAAAATGAGAACTCGGTCCTTATCTTGATGACTTTTTTAGGTACCACCAGAATGCAAACTGAAGAACACATCACTGACCTCTGACTACTAATTCCTGCAATAGTACTATATGACATTTCATTTCTAATCAGTAACTCAGACAGTTTCTTATATAATTAATTTTAATTAAATTTAAGTATAATTGAAACTATTTTAAAGCAGTGGAATTTTCTTTCCTGTTTTTGCTGCCCTCTCATTTCGTTTTACTTTAAATTGCCAAGTTTTTAGGGATCTATATCCTGTCTGTTCTCTCGAGGTTGGAACAAGCTTTATCTGAAACTGACAAACATAATTTCTCCTCTTCATAAATGAATGCCTTGAATGTCACTGTTTCCCCACCCCACCACCACAAGTCCGGTCAAGGCCATGTCATTTAACACAGACATATTTTTTATTCAGTGACAAGCAGAAGCAAGATCTATCCCAGAGCTATAAAATTACTGCTGAATGAGACAGACACAGAGAGTTGTATTAGCTTCAGCATTGATGGCAACTGTAAGAAATGACGTCTTGCAGCAATGGAAGATTTTCTGTTTGCATTCTTTCAGAGATCTGGAAAATCTGCTCACTGCGGACCCTGTAAGAGTTCCTGGTTTTCAGACTACACAAAGCATTAATGGTCTCCTAAGGATGGAAGGATTTCATTGCAGATGCTCCCATGGAAATTGTTATCACTTTTCTAATCTAATTGTTCTTCCCTACAGTCTTGTACACAGACTTTTTCAGCAAGCACTAGGATCAACTGAGCATTTGGTATACAGCTCATTTTGCCCATGCAAGTTATGCATTTCACCAATTGGACAAGGCTATTTCTCAACTCAGAGAATCCAATGTTTCATCAGGTGCACCTGAACCCCTTTATGACACATACAATATGAAGAGCTATATAAAGAATCTCTTAAATACTTAATTTAAAGTCAGCCCTTCTCTATGTGTCATTTATGAAAGGATAACACGTGGCATGTGGACTTATCATTAGCCCAAGGTAACACAGGTTGTGACTTCTAATTCTGTTCTCAGCCCTGCTACAGAGTTACTACATGACCTTGCACAAATCACTTAACCTTTATATGACTAATTTTATCCATCTATAAAATAGGGATAGTAAAATTTTTAGCTACACACAGCAGGATGATGAGAATTAATTAATGCTGTTGAAATCCCTGAGAAAGAAGACTTTATATACAGGACCTAATTCCACAAGTATTCACTCTCTGACTCTCTGTCTTGAGCAGCTAATTCTAGCTGCACTAGTTTTTACGCTAAAATTAATGTAAAAAACTACCATCTGGATTTATTAGCATTGTTCAGATTCACTGTGCTTAGATATGAAGCTCACACAAAACATTCTAGATAATTCAAAAGAAATTCAAGTGATTCATTACTAATATTAGTTGAATATCCACATACAAAGAGTTTAAGCAACCATGTTTGTGCATTTAGAATTTCATAGCAGGGGCTCCAAGTAGCATATGCAAAAATTGACATCTGATTAAAAGTTCCTGTCTGTGTTACTGGAGCTGCAAAAAACAAGCAGGTTAGGAAATGCCCATATGCATGTGGGAGAGTGTGCACTGCTCATGTAGTTCTTCAGCTTTCCTTTTTTCAAGATTTGACCCTAAAACTTCACTTCTTCTGGACTGTGGACCAATTTTCCAAAAATACAACCAATAGGACTTTCATTAGAAAACTCAAGTTGGAAATGTGGTATTATGTCACCTACCAACAACTGGAACTTTATGGCATATGACTATTGTAAGACATACAGCAAAAATAACTAGCTAGTATCTATGTCTAGTAGCTGGGATGAGCAGGGAGCAGTGCAGCAACAGTGGCCAACCTCACTTCTCTCTGCTACTAGCATGCTGATTTACAATGGGCAGCCCAAATCAGTTCTAATCCAATTTCAATTCCCACATATTGAGACATAACGAAATCCTTGTATGATATAGAACAACCAGTCTTCAATATTCTGATCTGTTGTTTTACTTAAGCATGCAAGGATTTGCTCAAAACAATTACTTTACTTCTTTTTACCATTAAGGTGGAATTTTCAAGTTATTATAATTGTTGCAAACTTCATCAGATGAACAGTATATTCGTATTCAAACCTGAAGATCAATCCAAAGTGACAGAGCTGTCAAGAAGGCAGAAAGAACCAGTCTTATCTGTAGGTATTAGTAATAAAATTGTTTTACCCTAGACTAGCAACAAACCAAGAGATTTAAGGTTCAAGATCATGTCTGCTGTAACCTGAAGTACACCATGGCAGGCCCTAACTCAAGTGCACTTTCAAATTAACCTCAGAAGATTCTTCATCATAAGGAAAAATGAATTCTATATGCAATGGAAGTGATTAACCTTGAATATTCAAAGTCAAGTTGATCAGAAGGTGTGCATGTGTGTGGGGGAGGGATTCCGCAATCTCCAAGGTGTTTGAAAATTGATATATCATTGAGAAAATAAAATAAATACAACTGTCTCCTTAGACTGCTGCTGCAAAACATCCCAGCGTATTTTGCTGTAAAAACCTTCTCTCTCTTAAATGATCAAAGCAGCGTGTGATCCAATCAGTTAAACTGCAACATGCCAGTACAACACAAATACACTTAAATGTCCTGTTTACTAAAGATGTTCATTGAAGATAATAATGCACAGGGCCCAAGAGATTTGGAGAAAAATAAGTAAATAGAAATTAAACCCAGCTAAATGATGCTTAAGATAAAGTGTGTAGGAGGGAGGTGTTTTTTGAGGGGTGTGCTCAGTGCAGGTAGCTCTGGGTGCAGCTGTAGTAGGAGCTGCAGGTTGAGCTCTGGCAATGACAATAGGGTGGGAACTGCTGATCCTTTCCGTAATAAAGGGCTCCGGGGCCGGGGGCCTGGCCAAGGGGGTAGATGCTGAGACACAGCAGGAGCAGTTGAGTCCTGGGTTTTCCTTTCCTTAGACTGTGAGGGTAAAAAAGCTCAGGGGGTCCTTTTTTCAGGGTCTGTTCAGAGGCACCCATCTCATGCTTTTATTTTTTTACATAGTCATGGCACCATGATTAAATTGTTTTAAGGATCAGGATGTTTGAGACTCTGCTGTGGAGTTGTGGGTTCACACCGATCAGGAAACCTGTTCTGGCTGTTGTGTCAGTACGTGGCTGTGAAGGGACCTCAGTTCCAGTTCAGGTGGCACCGGAGTGACTGCCAGAATGGCTCCTGGATGGTTGGACAGGGAAAGTTTCCATAACAGTGGAGACACTTTTGTCTTTTAGTAGAACTAAGAAAAACTTCATGCTGCTAAAATGATTTTGCAGCTTAGACATTTAAATTAAATGCACAGCAGAAGAGTATGACAGAAAGTTCTAAACACTGCCAAAATAGCTTATCTTTAAGCATACTTTCCCCTGGGTCAGAGAGAAAAAATGTGCTTTTCTGGAAAAATGAAATAATAATAAACTAATAGTAATGATGCAACATAGACTATTTCTATAAGAAACAAGTAAAGTTAAGCCATAAATAAATAAGTATTCTTGGGATGTTTTGGCTTTGCATGTTTGTTAGGTTAGTTTTTTGATAAAATAACCAAAGCATTGCATTGATTAATTTCTTCTCTGCCTTCTTTATTTATTCTCTGTCTGGCATTCTTTATTTTGTGTGAAATCCCTTGACCCACTTCAAGAAAGGACTTAAGGAGGTGTTGATTATTAAGTCAGATGACTTTTTCAATTGACTCCCATAAAGCATATACAGAAGGTTTTCAGATGTGGGGTTATCTATGAGGACCTCCCAAGGAGGCCCTCACCTGTTGGCTTTGCATTAAATTCCACTGCTCCCACTTCATCATGCCGTCGCCTAGGCTAGTCTTCACTGCCATTCACACTGAGTCACTCGACCTCAAAGTGGCCTTTTTCTGGTAATATCCAGGAACAGTACTGCCTCCAAAGAAAACACTGCAGCGCTAGAAATTCCCTCTTTTCCTAAACACACTGTTCAGGAGAGCTGTTCATCTCTTCTTATCCTTCTGTTGCTCAGGTAGGTTTACAGTCTTACCTCCTGTATAAACCCAACTTTTAAAATGCAGCCTTTAAAATGGTAGAAAACCCAACAATTTTGTGCATGCAAGTAGTGCTCAGGAGACTTTCCACATGATGAAGCTTATAACATGGACCTGGCTTGTCTCTCCTTAGGTTAGGTTCATTTTTAAAACTTCATTATTAAAACTTCTAATCATTTTGAATGGATTTTCTGTTCACTTCGGTCTTGATGTAGTCTTAGCAGCAAGCCTTTTGTAATATGCTGACATACAGTTGATGGGAGGATATGTTGTTTTTAATACCCTGAGGTGTATTCCAATGTTCTTCCCATTTCACAGAGTGAACCAGAGAATACAGGTGGTGTTTAGCCTATTTTTATCTTAAAATATTTTCTTAAGTTATGGTCAGTTTTAGTGAAAATTAGTTTATCTGAAGTGATCATTCATATATGTACATGTACCTTGAATCCAAAAGTAGTAAGATACATATCTGTACCCTTAGATACCTATTTTCAAACATTTAATTTTGGTAGGTGGGGTTTATTTCTCTTTACACGAGTCAAATGGCAGGATTACTGAGGGTGGAAAGGTGATAAGATGACTCACTCAAAGGTGATAAAGTGATTCATCCCACCTGAGGTGTCCTCATTCACTTCCTAAGCATTTGATTTTTATAGAGGGCACTAATTAAATAAATACATCTGAATGAATGAATGAGTGAGTGAGAGACCAAGACACCCTGTGCTCAAGTGCCTGGATATACTACCCTGGGGACTAGCACTTAGCTATGTTGGTGTCCTGGGGTGACTTTATGATACTGGTATCCCCAGTGGTCTGGTTTATGTTATATATTAAGTTCTGCACCTTTAAGACTGGCTCTGAGAGCGAAGGGGAGGAAGAAGAAGCCGCAGTTTGTGTTGAAAGAGAACATCACTCCCACACACCCCGCTGCTGGACTGTGGTGTCTGCAGCACGGACAGACAGCGGGACAGAGCTTCTCTCTGGCTTTTAGTTAGTTTTAGCTAGCTGAGGCAGAGGAGTTCCCTGGACCTTTTTTTTCCCTTTTTTCTTGGATCTGTTCAAACCTGCTCTGGACTGAAAAACACCCAGCCAAACCCCGGGAGCTCATGCTTGTGGCCCACCAGGGCCTGGGCCTCGGCATCATCCAGCGCCGATAAGAACCTGAGCAAGCCGAGCTACACCACATGAAAAGGACTTTTCTTCCTGGATTTGCCATCCCATTGAACAGTGAGAGGTTTTATTGTTTAATGTTACTCAATTTCTTTTAAATAAACAGCTTTTTCCACTTCTCTCCAAGGAAATCTCTTTTTCCCTAACCAGTTGGGGAGAGGGGCCATTTGAATTTTGCTTTTCTGGGGGAGCCCCATTAGGAGGTTCTCTCCCAGATTTGCCTTAAACTAGGACAGTTGTCTAGGAAAGAAGCCTTTTCACAATTAGTGCTTCTGGATGTATCTAGAAACGTGACCTACATCTATCCTAGTAAATGCTAACAATGCTGGAGTGATCCCAACTCCAGGATCCTCTTGTCATTGACAGTAATTGTCAGTAAAATGTTAGAACATCTTCAACAGACACAAGTGACCAATAACAAAGCACTCAACACAACAGATCAATACTTATAAACTGCCTTCTAGTATCTCCATCTGGTAACTTACTAACTGTTGCTTTAGGGTTTGTGTACATACTTTAAGCATCTTCCCAAATGTTTAGATAGACATTTTTTTCCCACACTATCTATATATTTAAAAATAAAAAAAAAGTTGAGGATTTTTCCTCCCTCTTCTTAATTCCTGTCGCGTTTCTGAAGAACTGGGGGGACAGGGTGTTTGCCTGAAATATTCTGTGAATTCACAATTAAATGCTCTAAATATATGTATTTTCATATTCAGTACCATGTTTTATTTACTACTCACTAATATTGGAGGTAAAGCAGTATAAATTTTTGTGTGTTTTACAAAAAAGTGTGATGCTATTCTGTTAAATCCATGCTGTATTTTCTATCAGACTGTAACTGTGTGCAGGATTTCTTATTAAAAAAGCAATCTTTAAAGTGATCTGCTGGGCTTCTTCTCTCAAGAAACCCATCTAAGAAGGCTATCTATCCCCCAATAAATCCTCTTCTAGCCTATCATAAAATACAATCACTTCCTATAAAGAGATCAGGAAATTATGTAGACTTCTTGTGGTGAAACTTCTATTGCGTAAAACAATCTAATTGAATGACGGTTTAGGTTTGAAAAGTCAACAATTGTATAGCCCAATGTTTAGATATTAAAAAAAGTTGTCAAAAATACGTATACTACTCATCACAACACAGTCAAGGTGCTTGCAACAGGGATTATCTATGCAGGTGTATCTTCGCAGTATCAGGATTCATAGGAAAGTTCCCAGCTATCATTACATATATAAATCCTAGCATGTTGAGGAAAATTTCACCAGAAGCAAATAGTCCAACACCCTATATGAAGTCAAAGCATGCCCTCAAATCAGGGCTCAGTAGAGATAACTAAACTTCTATATTTGAGTAAATTAATCCTATAAAATTACAAGGGTGATTAAGATAAATTAATATTTATACACTACTTCCTCCTACTTGCATTGTTTATACTTAATATCAGGAAGGCTGAAGAAGGATAGTCATCTCTGTTGTTGGAATCATATGCACTGGGAAGAAATTAAGCTATGTGTTCTAAGAAGCATTAATCTATGTGAAACACTAATATGTCTTTGAAGTAAAGCAATAAAACAGAACACCACGGATCTATTGGAATTATAGATTTGCTTTAACTGCTGAATAATTGTTAATTCAGGAAATAAACATAAAATATGTAGAGTCTTGCAAATTCATGACTATATTTACATAGGCAGAAATGCCATGACCAAAAAAAAAAAAAAAGAAAGATGTAGCAGGCTTGGTGAATTTTGTTGAATGTTTGATGAGTTTACAGATCTTTTATCTTAACACTTACTACAGTTTGAGACTGGTGAATAATTCACAATGAATATTTCATCAGAAACATGTTGCCTTCTTTTTGCAAATAGCTCACAGTTTTCCAGATTCATTTGTTATTTGAAATAATTTTTTTTTAAAAGTAACCATGTAGATTAATCCAAAACCAACGTGCAAGTATTTGACAGCTTGGCTGGAGTGGTTACTTGTAGTGAGCCATATAAGTCACAAGGTATTATTTCTATTCATGCAGTAGAACAACAAGAATATATTTCTGAAAGGAATACTAGTACATGAGACTATGACATTTAGTTTTTAGTGAATACCCCTGCATGTGACAGGGGAGCATGTGTTCTATGACCACTTGTGCCAGTAAAAGGCAATCATTCAAATGTCTGTAGAAAGCAAACACAAAAGGGGATTGTCATTATCACATAGCCAACACAATATACAATCTCATTTTTAGACAGTCGAATGAATTAACAATGTGCTGTTGGTAGGGCAGATAAGTGATGCTGAGGACACAAAGACAATCCCAGGGGCAGATATTTGCATGCTACTTGTC